TCACACACACACACACACACACACACACACACACACACACACACACACACACACACACACACACACACACACACACACACCCACACACACACACACACATGCATATTTATACATACACACACACACAAACACACGCACACACACACACACACACATACACACACACACACACATACACACACACACACACAGACACACGCACACACACACACACACACACACGTACACACACACACACACATATATATATATATAAGTAGTGTATAGAGGGATCTCTCTCTCTCTCTCTCTCTCTCTCTCTCTCTCTCTCTCTCTCTCTCTCTCTCTCTCTCTCTCTCTCTCTCTCTCTCTCTCTCTCTCTCTCTCTCTCTTTTCCGCATATGTTTCTGGAAAGGAGAAACTAGCACGGGCGTTTGTGTATATATTCCATTACACATCGACGTTTTAAAAATATTGATCGCATTAACCATAAAAGATATAAAAGAGTTTATTGTGAAATGCCAACCAACGTTTGTCCGATTTGGTTATTCGCTTATTCTGAATCAAATTACTGTAAATGATTAATTCAATATAATTCATAGGTGTAATTACACCCCGTTTTTGCGCGCGCGCGTGTGTGTGTGTGTGTTTGTGTGTGCGTGCGTGCGTGTGTGTGTGTGTGTGTTTGTGTGTGCGTGCGTGTGTGTGTGTGTGTTTGTGTGTGCGTGCGTGTGTGTGTGTGTGTTTGTGTGTGCGTGCGTGCGTGTGTGTATGTTTGTGTGTGCGTGCGTGCGTGTGTGTGTGGGTATAGGGTAGGCGGGCGAGGGCAGGAGCTATCAGGAGCATATATAACTGTAATAGCAACATTCTCACAATAGCCACCCATATTTTTTTATCACTTTGTTAACATGAAGTATTTTTTTTATCGCACTTGACTGACAGCATTTCCAGCATTTATCACCCAACGCCCTATAATTGTCGCTGACTGATAAGCAAGTCGTCCCTTATGAACATGTCGAAGGAAGGGACAAACTTCGGGAAACATTCCTTCCTTCTCTAGATGATGGGTTTAGTCGCTGCATATCTATTCTCAGAGAGAAATATTCGATTGATATGGTTAATTATGTTAGCCTGCCCGGTTATGCACATGACTCATTTTTATTAATGACTAAGCTAGACCTTGTCTCAGACCCGTGTTTGACTCAGCTAACTGAAAGCTCGGTTTAGATGATGTCTAACTACTTTCAATGTGCCCGTTAAGCATACCAAATAACTAGCACATTAACCCACAGTTTGATGGTGGAACGGAAGACAATTCATACATGTTATACCTAGACCCGTTTTATTAAAAAAGGCCCTTCAAAACCACGATGAGAATGGGGATGTCGGTCACTGGATGGTTATAGACGTGGAAAAAGTTGCAGATGAAGTAGTGAAAATTATTGATGAACTGCCGTTGATCATTCATCATATGAAAATAGGTAGAAAAAGATCCTTCATCGCATAATAGAGCTCTCTCTCTCTGCCTGACAGAATAAGAACCATAAAATTAAAAAGCTCACCAGTCCCTGCATAACTGTTTCATATGTTTGAAACTGCTTCAGGTCTGAGTGGAGTTGGGATTAGAAGTGTCAAAGGTACTCGATATATCCCACTTCTCCTAGCGTGAATACCTGGCACGTTTATATCCACCAACATCAAAGCCAGGAGAGAATCCTCAGTGTAATTGGACGGTGTTTATTTAATCCGCTGAAAGGGCCGGTATGACAACGAACGGTGAATCTTTTCTGCCAAAGTAAGAAGTCTATATTTTAAAAGTTTTATTCCTCTAGCTCTTAACAGGATTGTTACGGTAATGTATCAGAGGACCGTAGAAATGAATTGCCTCCAGTATGTAGGATTTATAATCTCAGATATGGCTAAATATACGTTGTACTTCCTCTTTTACGAAGTACTAAAGTCCTCCTGCGGGTCAAAGCTTAAATTCTGCTATTCGGACACTCACAGCTTCATAATTCAGGTGGAAACAGATGTGTTTTAAGATTTTTCGAGTTTTCCGCTGAAAGCTTGGTTGGGCACATCAAACCTTAGTCGCGAGCACCTCTCGAAAGCCTGAAGGGTGGAAATCTTATCAAAGAAGCAATGAGTCTAATGGTAAAACATACTCTCTTCTCGACAATGGCGAAACCTCGCTAGGTACAAAAGTATTAATATGGTGAAAGAGCGTAAACTGAAACATGTGTTCTCGAGGAAAATTACAACTAGTGGTTGGCGTAAACAACCATAACATAATGTAAAGGACAACTTTGTTGTGTCAAGATTATAAAAAGGACTCTCTCTTTTTTATGATAAACATTGGTACTTAGACCTATACATTTTGCAAGTGTATGGGCACCCAGTTATACCATCACATGGTGATAATAATCCTTGCGCAGAAAACACAGAGGAGAACAATAAGAACAATAACAACAACAACGACAACAACAACAAAAAAGATAGAGGTATAGATAGTGAGAGAGATAGAAACTCGTCTGAGTAATCCGATGTGGGCAAACCGTGAACGTGGAAGTCTGATTTCTACCCCTGCTGCTTCCGTCTCGACCGCTGATACGAGTCGAAGGAAGGAGAAGAATGATAAAGCTAAAACACATTCACTATTTCAAGATGAAGCGTATTGCGATGGTGATGATGGTGAGGAAGATGAGAATGAAAATGATGACGGTGCTAAAATGTGTATGATAAGATAAAGTAGTAGTGTATGATATTGTATTTGTGTGTGTGTAATCATGGATTTGTCATGTAGTATATGATTATATGTGCATATGATATGATAAAGTATTAGTGTATTGTAAAATAAACATAAATATAATACGATCATGGACTTGCCTTACAGTATATGAATAAAAGTATATGTATGATAATGCACCTGTCCCGTAGTATTTGTATATTATAATGAATAAACACTGTTGTCATCAACTCTAGGAAAACATATCTTACCTCTTACCTGTATCAAAAACAGTTTGATAGCAGAACCATATGCGGATGTCAGTCTCACCTCCTCGAGATAAAGAAATCTCTACCTGAAAAAAAATTACCATATGTAAGGATACTGTAGATCGTTCTGGATATAAAACAAAACCTACCGATCATGTATGTACTGATAATGGATGACTGATTTATAGAATCAGTAAATAGTAACATAGTAAGCATTACACTTACTAAGGGGAAGCATAAAAACATTCATTCTAATAGAACAGAGAGATCTAGGTCAGACTGAATGTCTCGGGTGGCAAATATTCGGGAAGGGAGAATCAAAGCGGTTCGTAGAACTGTATAAAAGGGTTGTTTTGTATATACAGATGGATCTGTCGATCAGCACATGAACAGAGCAGGCTCCGGCTTCATACACAAAGACAAAGTCTTCAAAACCAGAATTAGGGATGGATCCTCTACACTACAAGCAGAGCTTTACGCCATTAAAGCTGCCCTGACACATGCCCTCCTTCTTCAGGAAAGTCATGTTTATATTTTAACAGACTCCCTCGCAGCTCTACAAGTATTACAGAAAGAGTCTGTATCAGACAATATAGCCTTAACCACAGCCATCCACTTCAAGATCACACAGTTAAAAGATCAAGAAAAGTCAGTATCCTTCATGTGGATCCCAAGCCATGTCGGTATTAAAGGAAACGAAGCAGCAGACAAAGCAGCAAAGGACAGCCTACAACAACACCACCTCAAACTCATTAAACCCAGTCTTAGTAACATAAAATCACGTGCCCGTGAAACAACAAAAGAAATCTCCAAGATACAACATCAGGTCTGGGTCCAAGCAGGATCACCATCTGCAACATGGTACAGCATTGCTACTGATTATATTCCTATCACGATCCCAAAATCTATGTCAAGACGCGATGCTGTAATCATACACAGACTTAGACTCGGATACAGATGCAATTGGGAAATCCAATTCCGTGTTCCAAAGGCTTGCTCACATTGTCATGATATAGTAGAAGAGCCGCTCATTCACTACATCTTGGAGTGCCCAGTGCTAAATTCCATAAGATCACGTCACTTGCAAGACATTCCACACAACCAAGAAGAGTTACTTCAGGTAGCTGCTCTCAGCTCTAAAACATTTCTAGAATCTGAAGAGAGGTTCAAGATTATCTCCAGATTTCCTCCACCAAGATAGCTGTTATACCCCTAATTGCATGGTTGTATCCTTGCGTTCGTTCTGGCTCATTACAGAGATCTAAACCCTGATGCCTAATCTACACTTCAAGACATAACAGCAAATGCCCTGTCATACCTTATATTTTGCACCACTATTTGCATATATATTATACATAACCCTATATCTATTATTCATAACCCTATACCTCATTAAATTGTAAATTATACTCTCCTGTAGAAAGCAAACCTCAACTGTAAGAAAAAGAATAAAACAACAACCGGGTGGCAAAAGCGAAACTCGGTATAAAAAAAAAAAAAAAAAAAAAAAATCTAGACCGCACAGCTATTTGCTAGTTGATCTCGGGTGTGAAGCATATGAGAAAAAATAATTTCGAAATATCATCTTTCGAAAATATTACCGTTATGAAATTGTGTATCAATGGTCCTAAGTGAGAATAAGAAAACAATCATACGGGACCTGTATGAAAACTATAAGAAACCACAAGGCTTAGGCAGTAAACGAGCACTACGAATCTGCTCTGCAAAACAGACACTCTTCACAGGCACACACGCAAAATAGACCCACGTTGACAAAATTGCCACGAAACCCCGCAAGATATTAACATGCGATTTAGCTAACATGAGGCATCTAGGGAGGCAGAACAAAGGAGTTGGACATCTAATTTGTGCTCACGGGTTCAGTCGTAAAATGCAGGTGCGGAGTCTCAGGCTTAAAGACAAGACAGAAGTAATTAAAGTATTCAAACACATCCTCGACATGGCGGAATAAGAAAACATCGCCAAAAATCAAGAAAAAATTCTTTCCTCTCACGTAGCAGGAATAATTTTGTTTCATCATCATACAGATGATCATCATCATCATCTGTAGGGAACCACCACTAGCCGTGAGTGCGTTTTCATCTATATTCCGATAGAAAAAATATATATATATTGTCTTGTGCACTGGAACTCAACGACATTGCCATTAAGCAAACATAATATAGATACAAGATTTCGTTCAGTCATATTCCTGGTGGAGGGGAGGGAGGGTCGCGGTGCAATGATCATGTTCCTCTTACACGGGCTTTTGCGTCGTGGATCATGCGTTTCAACATGCAAGTGAGGCTTTTACATCAGCGCCGCCTCCCAACATTTGTTTTCGGGGAGAGGAGGAAAAGTGCGACGTCACGGGAGAGAAAGACGAGAAGGCGACAGGAAATAAAATGTATTAAACAAGAAAGTCCAAGAAACGGAGATAGAGGAGGAGGGCGAAGTAGAATATTTAGAAGCGGGAGAGGTTTACTGTCATCAGTAGAACGGTCAGCGTTGGATAACAGAATCTTTAGAAAAAAAGGAAAAAGGAGGAGAAAAGGTGAAAAGAAAAACCAAATATCGAAATATTTCGTCTGAGAAACGCGTCACAGCGTGTCGGCCTTTATTCTTTTAGTTCTAATTTTGATTTTTGTGTTTTTTCTTGTGTATTTATTATGAAAAAATCAAAATGTGCGAATGTTTCACTCGCCCCAGTGTATAAATAAAATCAGTATAATTTTTCTTATCAGTCTGACATCTGTTGCTTGTTAAATATCTAAATTCAACAAACAATAGTTCCAGAGACGTTTTTTTCTAGAAAACACATGTCACGCATTTGAAAATATACAACCACTAGTACTTGATTACTATCATATCTGACAATGATGATTTTTCTATCAAGGTTGGAAATACGTGCGATGTGGGGGTGGCTCCTCCCTTCACACAGCTCAAAGACATGGGTTAGGTACCCAGCTTTGATATGCTGGGGCAAGTGGCAATTTTGATAAATAAACTAAATAAAGAATTCGCCATACATTTTTTTTTTACGGCAATCAGCATGTCAATATCCTTGTCTACATGAACGGTCTACTTGCCTATGACCAGTAAGCAGATCGCCGTCGGGTCTTGACGGCGCACTCTGACAGGAGAGAACTTTCTCATATCTGTTACTTAAAATTTTTTTCACGTTGCAATTGCTTTTATTTTTGATTTTCATGAGAATAAACGATTTTTTTTTTTCGTTTCCACTGTGAATGCGTCTGAGCACGAACGCTATCAGAAGATTAACATGGTAAGCGATGGCGGAGTAGATTTTATTTATGTGTATGCAGACATTATGTGTATACGATGTCGACTTGGCAATCAACAGGTTAAAATCCTGGACGCATTTGCTTTACAGGGCTTGAGCACCAAGGGTTTGACGTATAAGCTCTACAAACAAATTGAAAAAATTTGCTCCATTGCTATTCACATTTCAGACCAGGGCGAATATCCTGTTGTGTATGAGGAAGGACGCTCTACATCAGCCATTTTACATTTAAGACCGCGATAGGCCTTTCACTCGAACCAAGTCACACAGTCTCTGTTCAGTTATTTTGAAACCTTGTCTTCCCTTCCAATTACTTTGAATCCTCCTCCTATGCTCCCCAATGGGCTTACCATTTTCACCGACAGGCTACCATTTTCACCGATAGCTACATTCATCTCCTTAGTGCATTCAGTTCTAGCAGTAACATGATGGCGATCGGATCTGCGCTACTCACCCACGAGACACACCTGTCGGGCGTGCCTCCTTCAGTATTATTTCCTCTAGCACCATTTATTTTTATTATTTATATTTTTCAAAACACTCATATTGAAGACATTGATGATAAGGTGCCACAACCATCATTGTTTTTATCGAGATACCAACTCTATGGGGGTTGCCAACCAAGGATAAGAGCCCCCCCCCGCCGAACGACAACTCGGTATTTCATTATTATTATTATTATTATTATTATTATTATTTTACTATTATCATCATTATCATTATCATTACTATTATTATTATCACTATTGCTATTATTATCATTATCATTATTATCATTATTATTGATATTATTATTAATTTATTACTATTATTATTATTTTATTATTATCATCATCATCATTATTATTGTTATTATCACTATTACTATTAGCATTATTGTTATTGTTATAAAAATAAATATTAGTATTATCATTATTATTATTATTATCAATGTTATTATTATCATTTTTATTATTATCAAATTTATTACTCTTGTTTTTTATCATTGTTATCATTCTCCTTCCTCTTGTTCTTGTTCTTTTTTATCACTCTTCACTCGTTTCTCTTTATTTTGTTCCCTTATTTAAGCTATCTCGGATTTCTTCCCCCAAGTTCGCTCTACGTTTTCTGTGGATTTTATTTCTATACGATTTTTTTTTTCAAATTTTATCGTCCTTTTTTAAATCTTTTTTTCAAATTCTATCGTCCTTTTTTCTTTTTTTCAAATTCTATTGTCCTTTTTT